CTTGTTCTGTCCCTCCAGGCCCTTGTCCCAAGTCCCTCCAGCTCTCTTGGAGTCCCTTTATGTCCTCAAAGAACAAAGTAGTACCAATAGCTAGTACTGGAGACCTTCCTGAAAGCATGGGCTTTCCCTGGATTTCTTTTCTCAGCAGGGATGCTCAGTCCCTTGGGGCAGGATCCAGAAGGGTTGCAAAGCAGCCTTTTGCCTTCATTTGATCTCTCCTGCTCAGAGAGAGAGGCTGAGGGTTGTTCTGCTCTTGGAAGAGTTGTTGGCTGTGTGGATGTTGGGTGAGTCCAGCACAACCTGCCTGCCCTGGCCAAACCAGAGCAAGGTTTGCATTCCCTACCTGCTGGGCTGCAGATTGGCAAGTGGGAATCTCACCTGGAATGCCCAGAAAAGCCACTTCCTTCATTCATGCCAGAGCCCTCTCTGGGGAAATGCACGTGCCACTGGGAAGACAGCAACGATGGGATTGGTAAAACAATCTTCTTATCTTCTTTGCAGCTTAAATCTCTGTCTGGTTTGTGTGGGATAATGAATTTGTGAGCCTCTCCATGCCTGAGTTGATGCTTTCCAAGTATTACCAGCAGAATTGCCATCTGCTCCCTCAAGCCAGACAGGTGGCCCCAGGAAATAGCATTTGCTTGGTGAAGATATAAGTAAAAACTTTTTTCCCCTCTCCATAAAGGTGGTCAAAGATCAGGACAGAGAGGCTGTGGAATCTCCTGCCTTGGAGACACCCAAAACCTAGGTGCACCCAAAGCCACAGTCACATCTCTGTCTGAGTGCACATCTGTAGCCCCAGTGATCCTGCCCCTGTGTAACTCTGTGATGCCCTTCAGGGATCCAGCACCATCCATCTGGAGAACCAGAGCATCAAACAGCAGTTGAATTGCAGCATCTATGCAGCAGGAAAGCCAACAGTGGAAACCCACGTTGCCTTCACCACCATCCAAGTGTTTTCAAGGCAAGGAGAGGGATCTTTGGGTGGGATCTCATGGGGCTTTGTGGCTTTACCGCTTAGGGATGCAGATAGAACAGAAAGACTCCTTTAATCACTTTGATTAGTAAAATTAAAGGTTTGAGAAATAAGACATAAACATCTCCCACACCTTTGAATGGGGCCAGTTAGTTTTCCAAATGGCTATGCTCAGGGTGAGGAGGGTCTGATTAGTTTTCCAAATGGCCTGTAGTTCTTCTCATGCATGAGGGATTTCCACACCCCTCAGCTCCCTGCTAACACAGCACTGAAGAGTATGTTGATGAAGAGAGCTGGAAGTGAAATCTGCAAGTTCCTCAAGCCTTGTTCTACTACAGGAGGCTGTGCTGAGCTGAGGAGCAGCCTCAGGAGGCCTTGAAGGGCTCACAGTACCCACCATTCTGGCAAGAAACCCAGGCTGCCATGAATTCTGCATGGAGGGAGAGTGTGCAAACCTCTCCCGAAACTCTCCAGGGAACACACCTCACTGACTGGTGGAATCTTCTGGGAAAGGGCTAATGGCTTATAAAACCACTAAGGTTGGAAAAGCCTTCTAGGGTCATCCAGCCCAACCATTCCCCCAGCACTGCCGAGACCACCACTAACCATGTCCTCACATGCCACATCCACATGGCTTTTCAATACTTCCAGGGAAGTATTGAAATACTTCCTGGGCAGGCTGTGCTAGGGCTGGACAACCCTTTCCATCAAGAAATTTCTCCTGATATCCAAACTAAACCTCCCCTGGCGCAGCTTAAGGCCATTTCATAGCTTCATAGTATGTTAAGGGGTTGGAAGGGTCCTTAGAAATGATCCAGCCCCAACCCCTGCCCTGGGCAGGGACACCTCCCACCAGAGCAGGTTGCTCAAGGCTTTAGCCAACCTGGCTGTGAACACTGCCAGGGTTGGGGCAGCCACAGCCTCCCTGGGCAACCTGGGACAGTGTCTCACCACCCTCACAGGGAAAACTTCTTCCTAATGTTTAATCTAAATTTCCCTCTTTCAAATTTATCCCCATTACTCCTTGTCCTGTCACTACAGTTCCTAACAAGTCCTTTCCTCTTGTCCTATCTCTTGTTTCCTGGGGAAAGAGACCAACCCTCACCTAGCTCCTGTCAGGGAGTTGTAGACATCAAGGATCTCCAATGGCTCAGCTGTGAGGGGACTTGGGCAGCTCCACACACTTTATTTCTAGTTGTTTTTAGCAAATACCTCTTTTTTTCCCCCCATTAGGTGCCAAACGAGGCAACAGCCAGAACCTGCTTGCTAATTACAGCCTATAAAAGGATTATTGTGTGCACTCACAGCACTTCACTACGACCTTAAAATAGGACATTTATTTCAAGAGCTTTTTCTTCCCTCTAAGATGACATTAACTATCATTTACATTTTAATACAGCTCCTAGAAGGCAATAACATCTGCACTTGTCTCCACTTAAATGTTTTCCTCACCTTCCTCCTCCATTTAGTACTTTGGGAGAGAACAGGTTTGAGAGACATTCTCAGTGGCTGGGATGAGTCCTGCTGGGAATGTCACATGGACAACAGACCCTCCTCACCCTGAGCATAGCCAGGTATGGTCACCTGCACGGCCATGGGGACAGAGGGTGGTGTTACAGGTGCTGCTGTCGTGTTGCAGGTGCTTCTGTGCTTCCCCGTGGTGCTGCAAACCCACATGGAAAAATCCCTGATGGAAAAATCCCCAGGACAGATCCTGATGGTTTGATTGCACTCAATCCCACAACCACACTTCCTCTGAACATTGCCAGGTGGATGTTTCCATGGTGACTTGCATCTTGTTGTTGGGAGAGGAGGCTCAGGCTGGAGCCAGGAATAGCAGAGCTGCTGCATTGCCACCATCAGTGACCTAATCCAACACCAAGTTCCCTTGGAAAATCCTGACTGTAAACCCTAAAGGAGAGTCATGGACCAGCATTTCATCTCTGGAGATCCAGTGCTATGGACAGGAGCTCTTGGTGAGTGTTTCCTATGTATTTAGCTATCTTGGGAAATGTGACAAGTTCTGTATGCCTGCACAAGCTGTGCAGCCAAAGCACTGGGGTGAACTCATGGAGCAAAGGCATCACGAAGGCCAGAAAAAGACCGGAATGGTCCACTACACTGCTGAGAGCTTAAAGAGGTGCACACAGAACTCAGTCTGTGTGTGCTGGGGGCTGAGGAGAGATTTCCTCCTGGGGCAGCACCACAGGGAAGCCTCTGTGTCCCCTGCACAGACCTGTCCATGCTGTAGGGCATCATCCCATGCCCTGGGAAGACCTGAAAACCAGGACCAGCAATGAGGACACACAAGGAGGTCTCTCCTGGAGGTGGAGCTGGCAGCTGGTCCCAGTGCTCCCCCAGGTGTTGTTTTCTACAGCCCAGGTTCTTAATCTGAATCCAAGTGTACTGGGAGCTTGGGGAAAGGCAGGGAAATGTCCCTTCCAAGTTCATGTCCCCACAAGCCTCTCTCTGCTCTGGAGTAATTAGTGTTGGCCACAGGCAAACTTGGATTGGTGCCTGCCTCCACGAAATATGTGTCAGGACAAAGTAGGTCAGTCCTGAAGCCAAGCTGACCCCAACTGAGGGTGCCACACAGAAATGGGAACTTGGGCTCCGTGGTGAAAGCCGCCTGTGGCCTCGTGCCAGCAGGCAGGATCTGCCCCTCTCCTCCTCCCTCACAGTGCCATGCTATGATGGCCAACATCCCAGCAGGCAGACTCTGTCCCCCCATGCCTTTCCTCCTCCCTCACACAGTGCCACACCATGCTGTGACGGCCAACATCCCAGCAGGCAGGAGTGGCAGCCCGTGGAGACATCGGCCAAAACTTTGGGCTCCACGCTGGCTGCGGGAGCCAGTTTGGATCTGAAAGGGCTCCTAGGTGGCACAGCCAAGTCTCACTGGTCACTCCATATGCTCACTTCCTCAGGTGAGATGCTTGAGGGACAGGGCAGTGGCAAGTGGACACTCAGGCCAGGCTAGGATGCTCTGGACTGGTCTCCTGTGGGAAAGGGTGAAGCTTTCAGTCCAAATCAGCAGCCAAAATTGTCCTGTGCTAATGTGAACATCACCCAGGACAAGCCCCACAGTCCTGCAGGATGACCATCACGGGCCCAAATTCCACACAGAGCACATGCAGGAAGAGATGGCACCAAGCACCACATGCTGCTGCAGATGGAGCAGGGGGACATGAGGACATGGCACCACTGCTGCACTCACATCCTGCTCACAGTCCTTCCTGACACCCTGAAGGATTGCTGCTCCCTCTGCAATGCCACCAGAGCCTCAGAGCAAAAGCTGGGGGCTTTGTTATCCCCCTCAGCCTCAGGCAGCTAGGGGGGTGTCCCATTGGGAAGCAGCTGCTCCAGGCACAATGCTGCTCTCCTTTCATGACTAGCTGCATCTCCCTGACCCTCGGAGCAAGCCCAGCTGGAGCTGCAGGTGCTGCCTTTGCCCAGGGGGCTCCTTGGAGGGGGCAAAGGGGAAAATGTCCCCTGTGGCAATGACATGGGTTGCATGTCAGGACAGCAGCAGTGCTGGGAAAAGGGACACATGGGACAGGGTTGGTGCCAAACGCTCACTTTGGTGGCCTGGGGTGGCCAAGGGATGCTGTGTGTGCAAAGAGAGGGCAGCACACAGGTACCCACAGCACTGAGACTCTCCTACACCCCTGTCCTATCAGCAGCTTGTGAAAGCAGACAAGTCCCTCTCTGTCCCTGTCCCCAAGCCAGAGGGGAAGGATGTGCATCCACCATGGATGAGTGTCCCAGCCTGACAACATTGGAGCCACAGGAGGCAAACCTTAGTGTGCGGATGGCATCAGGTGAGTCAGGGCTGCATGATCCTCCCCATGAAAGCCTAAGACTACAGCAGTGCTGCTGTGTTTACCACTTTCCTCCTCTACCCCTGCAATATTTAAAAGGGAAAATCAACTAATTCCAGGCTGAAAATCTGGCCAACACTCCCCAGGCTGCAGATCAGAGGGAGCAGCTTCTGGATTTGAAACACCAGCTGCTGGGATGCTACTGATAATGGGATGCATCATGTGCCAAGTCTTACTGGAGCCTGGAGAACCACAGAGCCCTTCCAGCCCATCAGCTCTCTTCTCATGGCACACAGGGAGCTGCAAGAGCTCAGTCCTGCAGGAAGGGAGGCTGAAGGGCTGATTTAAGAACCCGATCTGAAAGCCAGGGGCTGTTTCTTCTCTTAAGGACCAGGCCTGCCTGATGAGAAAGCCCAGCTGGTAATAAGGGTGGATGTGAGTGGGATGCAGGCCACAGGATAAGAGCAAGCAGTGGGATGCAGAGCCCTTCCTCCAGCCAAAAAGTGAAAGGCCTCTGTGGGTTGTGCTGAGCAGGGAAATTGCTTTGTGCTGCCTGGCTTTGTGAGAGCTTAATTAACCATGGCCTGAAGGGGATGAGGAAAAGAGAGCCCACCAGGCAGTGGGGGTCCCCTCTGCACCATGGCTGGTTGGGGTTGTGCTTTGTTGTTGGACACTGAGCACTGGTGGTGGGCTCAGTCCCACAAAGCTGCTATTGTCCATCTCCTGATGGAAATGCTCGTGTTGCTTATCATCTGCACACAGATCAGACTGGTGGTCTTCTCCCTCATTTTAGGCAGGTCCAGGAATCCATCTGGGAGCTTCCTGGGTGGCCCAAAACACCAGTGAGAGAATGCAAGTGGAGCCAGAAAAGAGACACAGAAGCTTCTAGCCAGAACACTCAAATGACCTTAGAAGAAGGATCCTGGAATCACAAATGTTGGTGTGACATTCCCCACCTGGACCTTATCAGTGATGGTCAGGGTGCAACTACCTTGCCCAACATACTGGGCATGGTTACACCTATTCCACTTCCCTCAGTTGAGATTTGGCCCTTTGCTTCCCTTCTCAGACCCAAATCAGCTGGAAAGACATGGTGTGGTGACTGCAGGAATGACACAAACCAGGAGCTCAATTTCACAGCTCAGACTGTGAACTGTATCTCCACTCCCTCAGTGTCAACAGTTTCAGTGCAACCACCACCCTGAGGCCATGAGGTGCTCACCAACCACAGAAAATAGAGTAAATCTGCTCCTGCCTGATGATGGAAGTGGCATCTCATGACACCAAGTGCCCCAGCACTTCTGCTGAAGCCAGCAGAAGTTACACTTGGCATCCTGCAGCATCATGCTAATAGCTTGGAAGCAACATGAGACATGAACAAGGTCATTTTCCAGCCTGTGGGTGCTGTACACATGGCTCTGCTGACCTAATGACTAGTGAGTGTCCCAGGAATGGAATAATTCAGTGGGAACCACCTGGAGGAAGCAGCACTTTGCTCAGGGACATGCTGGGAATGGGCTGGGCTTCTGCAGCAAGATAGAATTCTGCTCATGTGAAAAAAGAGTGGCTTCCCAGTGACCTCCCTGCTCCTCCCCAACAAAAAGCATCCCAGTCCTCATTCCCATCCAGTGCCAACCCTGCAGGAAGTTCTCTGACCACCTGAGCTCACCTTCAGCTTGTGCTCATGCTCCTTGTTGACCCGAGACAGCAGCTGGGCTTTCCTTCTGTTGAGGGCATCGATGAGGGCATCGCACTGGGCCACCAGGCAGGCCTCAAACTCCACACTGTTCTCCTGTGGGGCAGAGCAGAGTGTCACAGGCCAGATTCCCTGATCAGCTGGAAAACTGGATTTGCTCTTTAATGATGTCATATGGGTCATTTTTTTATGTGCACTGCAGCACTGCAACTCACAAATACTTAGCACATGGGTCATGGAAAATGTGGTGGTGGCAGGTGAGGAACAGGTTTGGTCCATCTGCCACATCCTTGGATCTACCTCTGGCAGAGATGGGAAGTGCTGGGGTCTCTGCTGCTCCCTCCATAACACTGACAGCTTTCAGAGGAGCAGGTTTTGGGAGCAATATGAAAAGTCAGGTGTGGGCTCTTTTGGGAGAGCATCCACCAAACCCAGCTGGGGAGACAGGACAGAGGACAGCAAAGAGCAGCTGATCCTGGTGGGAAGAGGCTGTTCCTCAGCCAAGGAGACACAGTACCTGGATTTGCTGCACCATGTTGCGGAGCTGAACCAGGAACTCTTTTGCTTCCTTGGCTCTGTCTGATAAGCCATTCAGGGCCTGGGAAAGTTGGCTCTGCAGAGAGAACAAAGAGCAAGGTTATTTCCATGTCCAGGACTCATTCTTGTGCTGGATGAGTGTGTGATTTGAGCTGGGGATGGGCTACAGCCCAGCACTGCCTTCAGCAACCCACTGAGGTGTCCATCTGCCTCTGCTGCCCTGAGTGGAAGGAGAGGAAAAGGAGGGTTAGCCATCATCATGGACTCCTTGACTTTGGGAAGCAGATATTCAGTGTCTACCTCCTCCCCAGGCTTCCCTCGGTGATCAGGGACAAACCACATCTACCTTGGGGCTCAAAGTGAGCCAGTTGCTCCCTCCCTTGGATTGTGCTCTCCAGGGAGTCAGATACAGAAATCCTGTAAGATCTGACCCACGTGTGCTAGACCAAAAATTTCCCAAGCCTTCCTGAAAGCGAAGGTAAATCAAAGTCCTACAAAACACTCCTTCCTCTGGATACAGGGGTGGGAGCATCCCTCCACAGGCTGCTCTGGCCCTGGTAATCATAATCATTATGTTAATCAAATGCTTTTTCATTTCCATGCCACTTCCCCAACATTAACTCAGGAATCTTCCTGATTCCAGGAGGAGTTATTATCTCAAGAGCAGGGCAAATCACCCCTAACGATTTACTTCTGGGAGTGAGATTTTGCCTCTTTTGTGGGCTGCAAATTGCCTGCAAACACCCTGTGGGGTTTGTGGCGTGATCTTTTCTTTGTGGTACACAAAGAAGGGAGCCCAGAAGATGGCTGATGTCCCTCACATCTCAAAAAAGCCTAATGTGATCACCCCTCCTGTGATCAGGATCAGGTACAGCGCTGGAATCTTCCTTGTGGTGTGCTCCACTGGATGCTGATGCAGGAGAGGGAGGGAGGAGGTAAGATGGGAGAGGGGAGATGATGGTGCACTGCCTGCCGAGGTGGTGCTGGGCTAAAAACAAAACCCAGACTTGCTATCAAAGAGAAGAGGAAGCAAATGAACAGCAACCATTTAACAGCCTAGAAAATGACCTCACTGCTGCTTCCCCAGGAGATGTTAATCTAACCCAAGTGATTCCTGCATTTCCTTTGTAATTTATCGTGCCCCAGTCGTTAGGATGTGGAGCTAATCAGTGAATGCATCTCTAATAAAAATGGGATTGCTAAGTCAGCTCTGCAGGTCTCCCCATCCCTCCTCCCTCTCCTTGCTGGAGGACAACCGAGGTCGGAGCTGGAGCTGTTCCCCATGGTGCTGGCAGCCCCACACACCACAGGGACACCTCAGCCCTACCTCACCCTCTTCCTGCATGCCTGGTAAAGCCTCCATCGCGCTCCACAGCTCCAGCCTGCCCAGACTCAGGAAGATTCCTCACTCCCATCCCAAGGTGGTTTGCTGAGAGCTGAGCACTGCAAGGCTGTGGTCTCTGATAAGTCAGGCAATTAATGGAGACTATCAGCAGGGGCTGGTTATGTTTACAAGCTCCTCATTAAAACTGCAGCATAATGGGGCTGTTTTTTTTTCCTTTAAAGTCTTTGGAAGGCTTTATTTTTTCCATTAACATACATTACAGAAAGGGGATCTTTATGTCAACATAATTCTTGAAGGCTTTCCTAATGGGAAAGCTTTTTAAATGTGGTCTTAGAATTTAATAAGAGCTTAGAGTGCATTGGCCATGTGCAGCTCCTTCACCCCAGGCACCCCCAGACTCAGAGCACAGCAGCTCCATGGCACAGCAGCTCCATGGCACAGCAAGCTTGGAGCCTACATAAAAACACAGTCCATCACCTCAGAGCATCCCTCTCCACAATCCCACTGCACCTCCCTCAGCTCAGTCCCGCTCACGATGTTCTCAATGCCACCAGTGCCTGCAGGTGAGGGGCATCAATTAGTCAGGAAACTGTCATTTTCCAGGTTGGTGAGATGTACAGTGGACACCACATCCCTGGCAAGGAGAAAGGGATGTCAACACCAGTGTGCCCCAGTTCACAATGATTACAGAGTCACAGAATATCCTGATCTAGAAGGGACCCCCAAGGATCATTGAGTCCAACTCCTGTCCATGCACAGGACATCCCAAGAATCCACCACATGCCTGAGAGCATTGGCCAAACACAACTTGAGCTCTGTCAGGCTTGGGGCTGTGCCCACTGCCCTGGGGAGCTGTTCCAGTGCCCAAACACCCTGTGGGGGAAGAACCTTCTCCTGATATCCATTAGATGTCCAAATGGACTCATGCCTACATCCCTCCAACATCTCCCAGTGTTTCCAGGAGCAGGCACTGCATCACTGCTCCTGCACCATGTGCCATACAACCTGCATCTTGCAAACCTGCTCCAGATGGATTTTGGCTACACCTAATGTGACCTGTTTGAGCTGGCATCAGCCAGTTCCTACTTCCCACCCTATGGATGGGTGGCCACAGGTTTCTCACTGGAGCTCTAAAGTTTGGCTTTTCATAAGCATTACCTTCATGCCAATCTCCAGGATGGGTCCTCAACATGCCAAGGCTCTCCTGAAGCGGAGACACATTCCTGGACACATTCCCTTTGAAAAAAGACACCTGCTCAGCTCTCTTGCTGCATCCCTGCCGCTTATGACAAGAGTCACCCCACTGGGGGCCATCATTAGCTCATTAAACAAGGTTAATTAATGCCATACACTAACAGAGCTTATACGGGAATGCACACGGGGCCCTGCAGGCATGGTTAGGGGATTCATTCAGGGCACTGACAAGGTGATTCATAACCAAGTGCCACAGGAAAACAAAGTCCTTCTGGTCGCTCTTATCATGTTAATAAGTCAGAGACTTCAGAGTGGAATCAAATGACTGATTGGATCCATAAATTCTACAGGTACCTTCCGTGACCCTTGGAGCAAACCCAAGCTGTAACACAGTCTGTTGCCTCAGAGAAGGACTGAATCGCCAGACACACACAGCAGTCATAGGTTTCCCACAAGTGTGGGATCTACATGGAGGGAGAAGGAGGTAGAGACTCAGGAGGAGTCATAAAATCCCCAAATGGTTTGGGTTGGAAGGGACATTAAAGCTCATCTTGCTCCACTCCCTCCCCATGGGCAGAGACACATTCCACCAGCCCAGGGGGCTCCAAGCCCCATCCAACCTGGCCTGGAACACTCCCAGGGATGGAGCAGCCACAGCTTCTCTGGGCAACCTGTGCCAGTGCCTCACCACCCTCACAGCCAAGAATTTCTTCCCAATATCCCATCTATCCCTGCCCTCTGGCAGTGGGAAGCCATTCCCCCTTGTCCTGTCCCTCCAGGCCCTGTCCAAAGTCCCTCTGCAGCTCTCTTGGAGCCTCTTTAGGTACTGGAGTTTTCCACATGGGAGCAGGGGGTTGGAAGGACCACAAGCCTTGTCTCCTCTACCAGCTCACAGGAAACAAAAGCTGCTAATATTCCTGACACATGCTGGAGGGATTTCCCCTCCCTGCAAAAAGCTGGAATGTTGCACTTTGCATGTCTATGTGAAAACAAAATCGTTGGGGCTTTATGGGGTCAGGAACCCACTCTGGGGACACCGCTGAGGGCATCATCCAGGGTGCAGTGTGCCAGCTCACATGTGCTGGCCCAGAGCTAAATCCAACCCTCAGCTAGTGCAGGCAAGGGAATTAATCAGTGTGAAATGAAGACAAATCCCATTTAGCAGCGCCTTAAAATCAAGTGAATCTGTTCTTTGCAGAGAGCTGGCCTCTTTTTCTCTGCTCTTGTTCCAAGGCAGTAAGAAGAGACCTCTGTGATTCACATTAGCATTAATGGGAGCTAAGCATTTAAATCTCCATCCCCAGAGCACTTAGGAGAGAATCTGTCCCCTCTTTGTGCTCGTTAATAGCTCCATAACCCTCCTCCTTCCCAGGCACGGCTGACAAAGGGATTTCTGTCACTCTCTCATTCTCCCTTGTCCCAGTGCATGGATGAGCACAGCCGGTGCAGAAGGCTGTGGGATCAGGAGGGACTGAGCAGGCTCCAAGAAACAGAGAAATGCATCATTTTAACCCTGCAGCATCAGAGCTGGTTTGGTTCTCCTCCTATATGACCCAGCTGCCAGGGATGGAGCTCCTCCACCTGCACCTTGAGGTGAGGAGGGAGCTGGGCATGTTATTTTAGAAGGTGTTGGGTCCTGGTTGTCACTGGGTGCTGGATTGGTGAAGCCAATCAGTGTGACAGTTCCATCTGGCACTCCGAGAAAAGCCTGAAGTTTTAGAATTGGCCACCAGCAAGGGTGAGGAGGAACAGTTGCTCTTGTTTCAAGCCCTTGAAGGCTATGACACCAGGCAGGATCATAAAATCACACAATCATTTAGGTTGGAAAAGAACTCCAAGATCATCAAGTCCAACTGTTCTCTCAGCACTGCCAAGGCCACCGCTAACCATGTCACCAAGTGCCACATCCACATGGCTTTAAATCCCTCCAGGGATGGTGACTCCACTACTGCCCTGGGCAGCTATGCTAGGGCTGGATAACGCTTTCCATGAAGGAATTTTCCCTAATATTCAATCTAAACCTCACTTGGAGCAACTTGAGGCTATTTCCTCTATTTCCTCTCATCATCTTCCTTGTTCCCTGGGAGCAGTGCCTGATCTCACCTGGCTGCACCTCCTGGCAGGGAGCTGGAGAGAGTGAGAAGGTCCTCCCTGAGCCTCCTTTTCTCCAGGCAGAGCCCCCTCAGCCTCTCCTGGTGCTCCTTCCCCAGCTCCATTCACTTCCCTGGACACACTCCAGCCCCTCCATGTCTTTCTTGTCATGAGGGGCCCAGAACTGCAGTGCCCACACATGGGGACGGTCACTGCCCCCTGGTCCTGCTGCCACACTGCTGCTGATACAAGCCAGGATGCCACTGGCCTTCTTGGCCACCTGGGCTCATGTTCAGCCACTGTCAACCAACACCAAACTCGCCAAAACAGCTCTTGGCCTTGCACTGAGAGCCCAATACCTGCTCTGACATGCCAAGCATTGCAACCAGTCCCTGTTTTTTATCTCCTTCCAACCAAGGCATCTCACAACCAGTTCCTCCACTGGAGCATCCATAGGGAGGAAAAGGAGAAGAGGAATGAGCCATGGTACAAAGAGGTGCTGTTCCCAGCTGTTCCGCTCATGCCCTCCAAAGGATGAGGAGCTGTCACAGATGCTGGAGTTGAACTCATGTGCTTCTTGCTTTTAATTAAAGCACATGACCTGCAGCCTTTGAATCTTGAGGGCAGCTTAGTGTACATGATGCCTGACTAATTAGAATGGGATGTTTAATTAAAACTTGCATTCAGTCAGGAAGTTGATGATGCTAAACTGCTGCTAATTGGCTTTTGGGTCCAGTCAGGAGTGCCTGACTTGTGGATTCAACACTGCCTATGAAAAGAAACCAGAAGCTGCAGCCTGACCTGAACCTGCCCCTTGAGACTTGAGCAGACAGACAGTGTCCTAAAGTCCTGCAGGGATTCATCCTGGAACAGTTCCAGGGATGGAGCAGCCACAGCTTCGATGGGCTACTTGTGCCAGTGCCTTATCACCTTCACAGGGAGGAGTTTCTTCCCAATATCCCATCTAGCCCTGCCCTCTGGCAGTGGGAAGCCATTCCTCCTAGTCTAGTCACTCCAGGC